AATTCCGAAACCACCCCCCACCGTGGTCCGTGGAAAAACTGTCTTCCACGAGACTGGTCCCTGGTGCTAAAAAGGTTGGGGACTGCTGCTGTAGAGTGCTATATACATTTTGTTGTGACACTGGTGTTTCATAGGCCACTAATCTGAGTTATTTAAAGCAATGTAATAATGCAGGTGACTTTTTCCCCACCAAAGACAACAAAGCAAGTTATTACTTTGAAACCATACCTCCTAATTGTTGGAATCCCAGCTCCTCTAACACTCCCTACCCAACTGTTTCCCAGCTGACAACTGGAGGAAGGGGCTTCATAAACTCTCCTGGCTTTAGCAATCAGTCCTATTAACTATCATAGGCACGCTTTCCTGGCTGATTTCGCAGCTCTTACTTAGGCTGCCACTTCAGCCATGGTGACAGTTCTGTTGCTCATATCCCTGCCTGTGTTTGGGCAGTGTGCTGTTCCGAGGCCAGCAGGGACCTACCAAGGAGGGACCTTCCATTCTGGAAGGCTTAGCAGCACCAGGCCCTGGGAACGGTCTGGGAGCATTGCTTAGCTGCCTCTCCTCCACAGCCTGGTCCCCACAGCTTCTCTTGCTGCTTCGTTCTGAGTCTGCTGCTCCCCGGATATGAATGAGTCTTTCTCCTGTGCCTAGTACCAGGGGTGAGGGGGGCCTTAACCTCAGCAGTAAGCTACTTTTATTCTTTGTGCACTTCAACATGCCCACCCTTCCTCCAGAAATTTATCTCATATTCCCAGGCCTGGAAGCAGATGAGAACAGCCAGAAATGCCAAAGAACATCTTCAGATTTAGCCCTTTCCCTTCTCTGGTGATTAGTAATGGTGGCAGTTGTTGTGAGAAAACTGATGTGTCTACTTCTCTTTGTGGTGGCTTCAGACTCTGGGCAGACGTGGATGCAGCACTCCCAGCTTTGTTCCAGGGATCACCAAAAATGTTAAAATATACGCTATTACATGCCCTGTGCTTTCTCAATGCTTTGACATATTTAAACATGAGATAACCCATGCTTAAATGCATTCTAACTCAATATATATCACAAATGAGTAATTATCTGCCAGCCGTAATAACATCTCTCACCACTCTCTCCCCCTTCCTGGGAAGGATTCTAGGCAGATGCATCATTATTGTTCCTTCACGGTGTTTCTTATTTCTGTTATTCTGTCCATATTCCAATCTGTCTAGTATCTTAACTGGTTACTTGTAACACTGAAAATCTCTTTGTTTGTAATTATGATACAATGGTGATACAAAATTATATCACCTCTAGAAATGATTTTATTTCTAAGTAATATATAAACAACTTAATCTTTGATCATATTACTGTGAGATCTTGCCAATTACTCTTTTGTCTTTGATTAAAAAAATGCCTATTCTTAAAATCTGTTTTATACTCTGATCCCTGATATTTAGATATCTTTTAAAATGTCTGTCAGTGGCTTTTAAAAGTTCCCTCAAAGAATCTTTTTGTAGATGTAATATATCCCATGTTTCATTAAGATGGTCTTACAGGGCTTCCCTGGCGGCGCGTGGTTGAGAGTCCGCCTGCCGATGCAGGGGACACGGGTTCATGCCCCAGTCCGGGAAGATCCCACATGTCGCGGAGCAGCTGGGCCCGTGAGCCATGGTCACTGAGCCTGTGCGTCCGGAGCCTGTGCTCCGCAACGGGAGAGGCCACAACAGTGACCGCAAAAAAAAAAAAAAAAAAAAAAAAAAGATGGTCTTACATAAATACTGGATGCCAGAATCTTGATTATAACAGTCAGGTAAAGCCTACCTCCTTCAGATACTAACCATCTGAAGGAATGTGTTAATTCTTATTTACACTGGGACCTTATAATAATGGCAGAAGAATTTGTTCAATTTGTTACACAAATCTAAGTACAACTACCCATAGAGAATGTGCACTGGTTATCCCTCTCCCATTTACTCATTCTGAAGAAACTGGTTTTAATTTTTAATTAGGAAATAATTCTGTTCCAGTGTGGAATACTGCTATTTGTCCCAAAGCTGCTGTTCTGGGATGTTTGCTTCTTACTTCAGGGTTTGTGTTACATTTTAGACTCTACTTACATAGTTAGCAAAAAACAGCCATTGAATATTGAGTCTTTATCGACTAATTTCTATGGAAGGCTTATACTCTTTGTAATAATACCCTCTGGCTAGCTGTGGCTGGGGTCTGGGTCTAACTGGAGCACACTAACCGGCAGTCTCATTAAAATCAACATTTTTGGCTTTGGAGAACAGAAGATACTTTAAATTCATTTTGGCTGAAGAAGTCAACTTCTGCCTAAAAACAAGCAAATGGATCTCCCAAAATATGGGTACTAGTCTCTTCTGCATCATCATTAAACATACTCCTTAGAAGCTGGAACTCAAGGAATTACTTTCTAATTAACATTTGTCTTTTATTTTCTTGGTTACATAGAGACTTACTAAATCCTTCCCTAAAGAACAATTAACCTTTGATTTTCATTCATTCATCTTTTTCTATTTAAGCATCTGCTAAATGTATAGATAGCACTGAACTCTTCTGCACACAATTGTGCATAACCCTCTAAATTTTTCTTTCCGCCCAAGAATCCCATCCTACCAGACTTGATTCCTTTTCTTTCTTTTTACTTTCTCAGATATTAACTGCACAATTTTCAGAGTCTCCCAAATGCGCTTACCTTTTCTTTTCCAAGTCTGACAACAACACAGCATATTTCTGGCTGTCATCCAGAGAAAAACAGTCCTGAAACTACAACATGTCTTGGTTCCTGCTTCTCTAAAGCCATCAGCACCAATATTTCAATATCAGTTCCTCCTGATCAGAGTTTAAAAAGAGTGGAGGTTACAAAGTAGAGAAAAATTTTGATTATGTTGAACTTATGAGACAGAACCTATGGCATCAGTTGTATCAGCAGAAATCAATCTTCCTCCTGTGTCATGAATACCTATTATTTGTCTTTCAAGCTCTTCCAGTCTTTCAAGAAACTATATTTTGACAACACCCCCCCACCTTTATTTGAAATAAATACACCTTGTTGGTCCATGGCATGCCCAAAATGGATCAAAGATGTAAACTTAAGAGCTAAAACTGTAAATCTCTTAGAGGAAAACATTGGAGTAAATCTTCATGACATTGGAATTTGGCAGTGACTTCATAGATACGACACGAAAAGCACAGGTGACAAAAGAAAAAAGATAAATTGGACTTCACCAAAATTAAAAACTTTCGTGCATCAAATGATACTGTCAAGAGAGCAAAAAGAAAACCTACTAAATGGGAGAAAATATCTGTAAATCATATATCTGAGAAAGATTAATATCCAGAATATTTTTTAAAATATATAATAAAAAGATAATAATCAATAAAAAAAATAAATAACACAAAAATTGGCAGAGGACTTGAATAGATATTTCCCCCAAAAGATATTAAAATAACCATTAAGCACATGAAAAGGTGCTCAACATCATTAGTCCTTAGGGAAATGCAAATCGAAATCATAATAAATGAGATACCACTTCACATCTGCTAGGATGACTAAAATTTGTAAAAGATGGAAAATAACAAGTGTTGGCAAGGAAGTGGAGAAATTGGAATGCTTCTGCATTATTAGTGGGACTGTAAAGTGATATACTAACTGTGGAAGACAGTTTGGTTGTTTTTCAAAAAATTAGAGTTATCATATGACCCAGCAATTCCAATCCTAGGTATTTATCTAAATAATTGAACGCAGGGACTGAGAACAGATTTTTTTTTTCTGCTTCAGATGCTTTTTATTTATTTTTTTTAAACTTTTTATTTTGGGGGCTTCCCTGGTGGCGCAGTGGTTGACAGTCCGCCTGCCGACGCAGGGGACACGGGTTCGTGTCCCGGTCCGGGAAGATCCCACATGCCGCGGAGCGGCTAGGCCCGTGAGCCATGGCCGCTGAGCCTGCACGTCAGGAGCCTGTGCTCCGCAACGGGAGAGGCCACAACAGTGAGAGGCCGAAGTACCGCAAAACAAACAAACAAACAAAAACTTTTTATTTTTTATTGGAGTATAGTTGATTAACAATGTTGTGTTAATTTCAGGTGTACAGCAAAGTGATTCAGTTATACATATAGGTGCATCTATTCTTTTTCAAATTCTTTCCCATTTAGGTTGTTACATAATATTGAGCAGATCTCCCTGTGCTATACAGTAGGTCCTTGTTGGTTATCCATTTAAAATACAGCAGTATGTACATGTCAATCCCGAACTCCCTAACTATCCCTTCCCTCCACCCTTCCCCCCGGTAACCACAAGTTCCAGAACAGATTTTTACAATTTTTATAGCTGCATTATTCACAATAGCCAAAAGGCTGGAAACAACACAAATGTTCATCCGTGGGTGAATGGATAAACAAAATGTGGTATATACATACAAATGGAATACACAGCCTTAAAAAGGAATGAAACTCTGATACTTGCGACAACATGGATGAACTTTGCAAACCTTATGCTAAATGACGTAAACCAGACACAGGACAAATACTGTGAGTTCACTTATATGAGGTACCTAGGATAAGCAAATTCTTCGGGAGGGAAAGTAGAGTTACCAAGAGCTGGGGGAAGGATTAAGATTTCTATTCAGTGAGAATAAGCCACAGTATCCTGAGAGGCATATATTAAAAAGGAATTACAAACTTCTGGGGAAAAGGAGAGGAGGGAAGGTTGGGGGCCCTGGCGATCCATTGCTTGGAGCTCGGCTTAGCCAGGCTGGGGGGGGGGGTCCTCCGGGGACCGGTGAATAGGCGCTCGGCTCTGAGGGCCGGCGGGGAGGGGAGAGAGGGCAGCTGGGACGGCAGCTGGGGAAGGTGGGGACTGGGGCCCGTTGCGTCTCACAGGGAGGAAGGGACGGGAGAACGGGGACCCCGCGGGGAGAGGGGTCAGGGTGGCCGTGGGGAAGTGGTTGAGCTTCCCAGCCGAGTGTCGGGCGGCAGCGGACGGGCGCGGCGAGGTGTAGGACCGCCGGCGCGACCCCGACCGCGACCCCAGCCCGCGCGGCTCCTCAGCCGCCTTCGCGTCAGAAGGGGCGGGCGAGGCCTGAGGCGGCTCCGCCTCTTGAGGGGCCGGCTGGAGCACTCTTGTTTTGCTTTGATAGCTCCTGGAGCCCCCCGTGTTTACTTACAAGTGTGTTTCCCTCCCGGGGCGGGAGCTGGTGGCCAGCGCGCGTGTAGCCGCGTGTCCACAGCGACACGACCTGCAGCCCCGCGGGCCCGGTGCCGGCGCCCGCGCCCGCTCTCGGGTCTCGGCCACTCACCCGGCCGGAAGTCTTACGCCCTGCGCCCACGAGTCTGGGGTGGGCTTTCTCGGATTTAGGGAACATCACGGGGGTATTTTTTTTTCAGACCCAGATTCGGTTCCTGCTGGAACTTCCCGGCCCCGGATTCCCCGGGGACGTGGTGGAGATCAGGCGCTCCGACTGTAAGGACCTCTCGGCCGAGACTCGGGGTATTAATTTGTTCCCACGTTCATTCTCTTACTTAGTCAAATTCCCTGCAGTCATTTGTGATGGTTGGTTTTTCCAGTGAATGTTGATCTGAGTCTTCACTGATTAACGGTTTCTGGCAAATCAATATTTCGTATCTGGGTTTCTGCACTTTTGAAATAAGTATATTTCTGAGAGTAAAAATTGTAAGAGATAACTAATAGATCTGAACATCTTATACGGTAAGGATTATAGAAGGTAAGAAGATGCTAAATTGTCACTAAAATAATTAGGTAAGGTGCAGGTCATTTCAACAATCAACAAATTATGTAGTTACAGAAACAGTTTAAATATTTTAAGAGTAATTAGTTAGAGCAGAAGCAAGCACTTAAAAAAGGAAAACATAATTTTATACCACATGCTGAAACTAGAACTTTGTAAAAAATAATCTAACGTGGAAACTTAGAAAATCTGACTCTAAACCTAAAACTTAAAATTAATCCAAAATCTATCACCTCCTACAGTAACAAACTCATATTGAAATATGGTAACGTCCCTTGTAGGACCTATGTTTAGAAAAATATATTTATTTACATAATTCAAGTGCCGAATCCCACGGTCTTTTAGAACCTTCATGATTTGATTACGTGAATCCTGAATTAGAAAAACAAATCACATTTTTAAACTGAATATTAAAGATTGGGGGGTAAATTTTTAAGCCTCAGAATTGACGGAAAATTATTTTTATTTAAAATTATTTTTATAAACTGAACATTGCTAATGTATTTATTCCACAGTGAATTGTTATGGACCATCTGCTATGTATCAGGCACTGTTCTGGGTTATAGGAATACATTAATGAGTAAAAAGTCCCTGCTTCCTCTACAGGGAGAAAGATAAACAACTGAACAGTTATAAATTAGTGCTGTGAAGAAAAATAATGCAAAGTATAGGGATGGAGTATTTTAGATAAAGGAGGTTTTCTTTCGTAGAACTGCATCACAACTAAAATATATACATAATGTTTTTATTCTGGACCCAAACAAGTTATTTTCTCTTTTATGCCAGAACTAGGAGTCAAATCAAAAGTTCTCTTGAAAATATTTGCTGTTTATATAGGAGGTTTTTAGATTAATTTATGAAATATTTTTTTTCGGAAACAAATATTTTTAATTTGCAGTTTTATTGTTTTGTTTGCAGCTTCTTTTAGAATAAAGAGTTCAAACATGTGCGTGTTAGCCTTAAGAGTTTCTACTTAAATTCTGAGGTACCATATAAAAGTGGTCTGGAATGTTTTAATTTGGAAAACTCTTTTTGTTGTTTAAAATTATATAATTTTCCTAAGACTAGAAAGGGAATATTTTATTTGTTACTTTTTGTATAATATAGAAACATGATTGGCATTTTAATTTATACTTTATCGGGTAATTGTTTTCAGCTTCTGAAATTCTTTACTTAAATAAGTTGTTAAAGACTCCAGTTAGCAATTTCTGAGTGACTCCCTTCTGCCTCCCACCCTGTTATCCTAGGCTTCTATTGTCCGCATAATTAAATTGTTTTAGACATTTATAGAACCATGCTAATTTGTTTCAACTTTACTGTTTCTTTTTGTTGGTGACTAAACGATTAATAAATTGAGAAAAATGAAGAGGACAACTAAGCTAAACAGGTGGAAAGGGGAAAAGCCCAATAACTAAACCAATGAAAAACCCCACAGTATTCTGATAAAGTAAGAACAGTCCTAATGTAATCAAATTTAGCCCTCTTGTTAGTAGCATTTTGTCAAGGGGTGCATGTGGAAGCGTTCCTCTTTCCCCCACATACTTCCATGTGTGTTTCACTATCACATCAGGGAGGACTCAAAATTGAAGGGACTGGACTTCCCTGGTGCAGCAATCAATCAATCAATAAATAGGTATATACATACATACAAACATACATACACACGCACTGCTCTGACTTGGTAATATGGATTTCTCCACGAGATGGCGCTCATATAGTGTCTGATTTTAGTTTCCATCCTAAGGAAAGCTTTGCAATATATTAACTATCACAGAATAAATAGAAATGTGATTTTATATTTTTTGGTATGTGCGTCTGATTTCATGTTTTGTCATATAGAATCTTATATCATGTTTCATAAATTAGAAAAAAGTTGAGTTGTAGTGTTGATGTGCAGGGGGAAGAATTACAAAGTATGTATCTGTAGAAATAATTCTACTCTCTCCTGTTAAATTTGAGGCTTTGTTCAGCCCTAGATTTTTGCTATATGCCCAGGTAGCCAGTGCTGAATGTTTTTATCCTTTACATTTAGATAACATCTTTGGATATAAAAATTATCTTTTTAAAAAGGAATGTAAACATTTATATATATGTTAGGTAATATAATGTAAACATACATATATATGTTAAACTAGTAAATTTGTTTATTTTGATAAATTCAAACATATATAAAAACAAACATTGAGGAACTCCACGTACCTATTACGTAGCTTTAGCAATTATCAACTCATTGCCAATCTTGTTTAATCAATAACCCTCAACATTTCTCTCTTTATTTTGAAGCAAATCTACTCTATCCCTTGATTTTGAAGGAAATCCCTGCATATGTACACAGTACATTGTTAGAAACACACACATTCACAATAAAATGCACTATCCTAACTCAAAAATAATGGTATGAACAAAATATTTTAGGAGCCCGAAGGAGCCATTAATTCTGCTTTTGGGTAATTCAGAGAAAACTTTGAAGAAGAAATGGCGTTTGACCTGTGCCATTAAGAATGGGTAGGAATTTGTCAGGTGGAGAATGGAAGAAAACACTCTTAAGCATTGGTGCAGAATGAAGAGAGGGGTACATATGTGAATATGTATGAATGAGTGGAGAACAGAGAATAATGTATTTGAATATTTTAGCACTTTGGAGGAAGTTACAAAAGATGTTGCTGAAAGGCTATCTGTCATTATTTTGGGAAATTAATGATTACAGTTTATGGATCCAGAAATTTTGTTTCTACATCTTTGTAAATAGAATATAAACTACTTTTTTTTGGGGTATTTTTTAGATTTGTGACAAAGTCCAGTTTTTAACAATGCTGAAATCAAATGACGCCTTGTTTTCCTTGGATAATTTGTTTTTTGAAAAAACAGATGAAGCTGAAAAGTAAGTCTGCTTTAAAGAATGATAACAGTATATTGCTTAAGGGTTTTTGATTTTTAAGGCATTTTAGTTTTCTCTCTGGTAAATTTATAGATAAAAAATGAGAGATCAACAGAATGGCATTTCAGGTATATGCTTGGTAAACATGGAATTCAGATATAAAGGAGTAACTGAAGTTTAACATGTTACAGTTTTAAAAACAGAGTAGATTCTTGTTTATTTGGCTTTCATTCGTTTGCATTTCTGGTTTGTTCAGATTATTTTTGGCTAAAGTAAAGACTGAAAGTAATGGTCAAAGAGTAGCTCAGGACAAGGAGTGATGATGGCACCTTTTGGAAACAGAAAGGGCAGTGTGCCAAAGGCCAAGTGTGATAGGCAGATTCAGTGCAGGCAGGAAGTAGGGGTGGAAATAAAGATGTGGTACCAAAGGAACTATGAATGGGGAATAGGGAGTCTGTTAAATACTGGCTTTTATGGATTTTCACATGTGAATCACTTTAATTTTAAGTTTTCTATGTATTTGTTCTATCGTATTACCCTTTTTAATGAAGCATTGAGTAAATTATTTACTGCTTCATTTATTCTTCCATTCATTCAAATATTAATTCAAATATTGACTGAATGCTGAAAGGGATATAAAAAGAATGAAACAGACTTTTACTTTAAAAAACTTAAAGCCTATTTGAGGTTAAATACACATATAGAAAGGTCATTCATAAATAATGTGACCATGTAATTCAGACTGGGACACTTTTGAGAGTGAAAGAGTGCATTCAAATGAAGCAACAGGTGTTAAGACTGACCTGGGCAAATTTGGAACATATGGTTGCTCTTCTAACAATACAAAAAAAAAGTGCAAAGCAAATTATAAGCATATATTCATGCAAAGAAATTTCAGATTTGGAGAGAGACTTGGGCCAGACTGTTTAGGTCAGGCTTTATGGTAGTTGGGGGAGACTTCAGGCTTTGAAGGACTGGATAATTCTTTTTTTTAAAAAAATATTTATTTATTTATTTGGTTGCACCGGGTCTTAGTTGCGGCAGGCAGGCTCCTTAGTTGCAGCACGTGGTCTCCTTTGCTGTGGTATATGGACTCTTAGTTGCGGCATACATGTGGGATCTAGTTCCCTGATTTTGTGAATGTAAGATTAGAAATGGATTTTGAATGAGCATATGCTCTGCTGCCTAAAACAATGCCTGGCACATAGTACTCAGTAAATAATTGCTGAATTGATTAATGAATGAAAAAAAAGCAGTTGAACTTCTATAGTTGGATATAGGGGTAGTGTCGGGTATAGGGGCAAGCCAAATAAAGAAAATAGTTTTGAACAAAGATAAGGAGGGACAGAATGTATTATCTGTTTGGTATACAAGTAGTTCACTTTGGTCTGTACTATAAGGGACATGTAGGAGAATTGAAACTGTAACATGACCTAAGGCCTCTAGGTAGTTTGGTGTTATTTAGAAGCCACTGACGGATTTTGAATGGAATAACATGAAAACAATTCCAAATTAATGTGATAGGAGTATATGAAATATAGAGAGAAAGCCCAGAGGCAGTGAAGTCAATTAAAACACTATTGTTCTCAATCAGACATAAGTTGCTTAGAGCCTTGATTAGGATAGTGCTAATGGAAATACAAGGAAGCGATGTATTCAAGAAGCTTTATAAGGAAGATGCAATAAGAGACATGGATATAGTGGGTAAAAGACTGTACTATGGTTTGGATTCTGGGTGATGGGGAGAATGATGACACCTCTGGAAAATACGGATATCAAGGAAGATTTGATTTTATGGGGAGGCTGAATAGAGAGCTAGATGTGTGCTTTTTGTATCTTGTTAATGTCTTTCTTGGATTTTCAGGAATAGTCTCTGTGCAGAAAAGAGTTAATATACCAGGCCCAAACCACTATCTTTGAAAAGGCCTACTTGTAAGGTTGGCCTCTGGCTGGAGTCTGAGAACTTGGATTTTAGGAAGATTCCTACCGTTAACTTATAAATTGGCTCACTGTGTAAAAACTGTTTATAAAAATAATGTGATTTAGGGCTTCCCTGGTGGCACAGTGGTTGAGAGTCTGTCTGCCGATGCAGGGGACATGGGTTCGTGCCCCGGTCCGGCAAAGTCCCACATGCCACGGAGCGGCTAGGCCCGTGAGCCATGGCCGCTGAGCCTGCGCGTCCGGAGCCTGTGCTCCACAACGGGAGAGGCCACAACAGTGAGAGGCCCGGGTACCACACCAAAAAAAAAAAAAAAAAAGGTGGTTTATAATGAACATCTGCTCTTCTGGGAATCTGGAATTTAGGTATGTGCCAGAGAGGGATGCCTACATGAGTAGCCTAAAAACCCTGGGCATTAAGTCTCTAATGACTTCCCTTGTTGGCGACATTTCACGTGTGTTGTCACAACTTGTTTTGGGGGGAATTAAGCACATCTTGTGTTACTCTAGTGGGAGAGGACCTTTGGAAGCTTGTGCCTGGTTTCCCCTGGACTTCACCCCACAGTCATGAGTAGGACTATATGCTGAGTCCTGTAAGTCGTCCTAGGGAATCATTGACCCTGGCGGTGATCTTGGGGACTCTGTGACGTAGTCCTAAATTTCAGTTGCTTTGGTGTATTGTCAGACAATCTGTCAGACATTGTCAGGTGATGTGTTGCAGATTTTTGATTTAGAAAATAGAGCTGTAGTAGCTATGTTTGAGGTGCTGTGAGAGGCAGAAAATTGAAAGACTGGGCCTCTCACTTCTGGGAGTTTAAAATTCTAAATAAAGAGAGAAGAAAAAATCATAAAATCCTTGGGACTTGGCTTAGACAGTTTATGTGGTATTCTTCTCAACTTTATTTTGTTACCTAATGCTTATCTTTTTCTTCTAATGAAGGACAAGCCAACTTTGGTTGGAAAGGAAACATTAAAACATTATATATTAATAGGATCACAGCTGAAAGATAAGGAACGGTAGTTAACAATGCAAACAGGGTGACAAAAATCTCATCAATTACTGTAGGTTTACAAAGTGATTGTCAGTTTCAACTGTTTTCTTGGATTTTCCATGGTTATAGATGGTTCTGGACCAAGAATATTTGGGTTAAGACATTAATTCGTAATGTTTTAGGAGTACTCCATAATACCAATACTGGTGTCATTTACACACTTGTGACCCATGATTAGATGTCAGGTGTATCATCAGTAATTTGTTACTTGTATTGGTTAAGATGCTAAAGTTTCACAATGATTTACTACTTTCTTTTTTATATTGGAGCAGATTTAAGATTCCTGTCGCAAGCATTTGAATTGGAGAAAAGAAAATGGAGTTATAGCCATTATTTAGGTAGAATATCTCACATAGCAGTGTCATTAATCACATGACACACAAGGAAAAAAAGAATGCTGCTATATAGGGATAAGTCAAAGTCACCGCAGAAAGGTAGTATATTAAGTTTAAGAGTCTATAATTGAGTAATGTTTCATTAATAAATACATAGTTTCTTTGTTTTTTCTTAAATAAAATTATTTTATTTTATTTTTTATGGCTCTGAAAATTCACATTTTAAAAAACATGTGGAGAGGTATTACAAAACATTTAAGGTAGCCCATGATTACATTTATTTGTTCATAGGCTGTGTAAATCTTTTTTTTAAAATTTTATTTACTTTTTTATACAGCAGGTTCTTATCAGTCATGCATTTTATACACATCAGTGTATACATGTCAATCCCAATCTCCCAGTTCATCACACCACCACTCCCATCCCCCCGCCGCTTTCCCGCCTTGGTGTCCATACGTTTGTTCTCTACCTCTGTGTCTCAATTTCTGCCCTGCAAACCGGTTCATCTGTACCATTTTTCTAGGTTCCATATATATGCGTTAATATACGATATTTGTTTTTCTCTTTCTGACTTACTTCACTCTGTATGACAGTCTCTAGATTCATCCACGTCTCTACAAATGACCCAGTTTCATTCCTTTTTATGGCTGAGTAATAGTCCATTGTATATATGGACCACATCTTCTTTATCCATTCATCTGTTGATGGGCACTTAGATTACTTCCATGACCTGGCTATTGTAAATAGTGCTGCAATGAACATTGGGGTGCATGTGCTTTTTTGAATTATGGTTTTCTCTGTGTATGCCCAGTAGTGGGATTGCTGCATCATATGGTAATTTTATTTTTAGTTTTTTAAGAAACCTCCATACTGTTCTCCATAGTGGCTGTATCAATTTACATTCCCACCAACAGTGCAAGAGGGTTCCCTTTTCTCCACACCCTCTTCAGCATTTGTGGTTTGTAGATTTTCTGATGATGCCCATTCTAACTGCTGTGAGGTAATACCTCATTGTAGTTTTGATTTGCATTTCTCTAATACTTAGTGATGTTGAGCAGCTTTTCATGTGTTTCTTGGCCATCTGTATGTCTTCCTTGGAGATATGTCTATTTAGGTCTTCGGCCCATTTTTGGATTGGGTTGTTTGTTTTCTTAATATTGAGCTGCAGGAGCTGTTTATATATTTTGGAGATTAATCCTTTGTCCGTTGATTCGTTTGCAAATATTTTCTCCCATTCTGACGGTTGTCTTTTGGTCTTGTTTATGGTTTCCTTTTCTGTGCAAAAGCTTTGAAGTTTCATTAGGTCCCATTTGTTTATTTTTGTTTTTATTTCCATTACTCTAGGAGGTGGATCAAAAAAGATCTTGCTGTGATTTATGTCAGTGTTCTTCCTGTGTTTTCCTCTAAGAGTTTTATGGTGTCCGGTCTTACATTTAGGTCTCTAATCCATTTTGAGTTTATTTTTGTGAATGGTGTTAGAGAGTGTACTAATTTCATTCTTTTACATGTAGCTGTCCAGTTTTCCCAGCACCACTTATTGAAGGGACTATCTTTTCTCCATTGTATATCCTTGCCTACTTTGTCACAGATTAGTTGACTATAAGTGCATGGGTTTATCTCTGGGCTCTCTATCCTCTTCCAATGATCTATATTTCTGTTTTTGTGGCAGTACATATAGTCTTGATTACTGTAGCTTTGTAGTATAGTCTGAAGTCAGGGAGTCTTATTCCTCCAGCTCCGTTTTTTTCCCTCAGGACTGCTTTGGCTATTCAGGGTCTTATGTGTCTCCATACAAATTTTAAGATTTTCTGTTCTAGTTCTGTAAAATGCCATTGGTAATTTGATAGGGATTGCATTGAATCTGTAGATTGCTTTGGGTAGTATAGTCATTTTCACAATGTTGATTCTTCCAATCCAAGAACATGGTATATCTCTCCATCTGTTTGTATCATCTTTAATTTCTTTCATCAGTGTCTTATAATTTTCTGCATACAGGTCTTTCATCTCCCTAGGTAAGTTTATTCCTCGGTAGTTTATTCTTTTTGTTGCAATGGTAATTGGGAATGTTTCCTTAATTTCTCTTTCAGATTTTTCATCATTAGTGTACAGGAATGCAAGAGATTTCTGTGCATTAATTTTGTATCCTGCAACTTTTCCAAATTCATTGACTAGCTCTAGTAGTTTTCTGGTGGCATCTTTAGGATTCTCTATGTATAGTATCATGTCATCTGCGAACAGTGACAGCTTTCCTTCTTCTTTTCCAATTTGGATTCCTTTTATTTCTTTTTCTTCTCTTATTGCCGTGGCTAGGACTTCCAAAACTATGTTGAATAATTGTGGTGACAGTGGACATCCTTGTCTTGTTCCTGATCTTAGAGGAAATGCTTTCAGTTTTTCACCATTGAGAATGATGTTTGCTGCGGGTTTGTCGTGTATGGCCTTTATTATGTTGAGGTAGGTTCTCTCTATGCCCATTTTCTGGAGAGTTTTTATCATAAATGGGTGTTGAATTTTGTGAAAAGCTTTTTCTGCATCTATTGAGATGACCAGATGGTTTTTCTTCTTCAGTTTGTTAATATGGTGTATCACATTGATTGATTTGTGTATATTGAAGAATCCTTGTGTCCCTGGGATAAATCCCACTTGATCGTGTTGTGTGATCCTTTTAACGTGTTGTTGGATTCTGTTTGCTAGTATTTTGTTGAGGATTTTTGCATCTATATTCATCAGTGATATTGGTCTGTAATTTTCTTTTTTTGTTGTATCTTTGTCTGGTTTTGGTATTGAGGTGTCCTTCCTTGTCTCTTGTAACATTCTTTATTTTAAAGTCTTTTTTATCTGATATGAGTATTGCTACTCCAGGTTTCTTTTGATGTCCATTTGCATGGGTTATCTTTTTCCATCTCCTCACTTTCAGTCTGTATGTGTCCCTAGGTATGAAGTGGGTCTCTTGTAGACAGCATATATATGGGTCTTGTTTTTGTGTCTATTCAGCGAGCCTGTGTTTTTTGGATGGAGCATTTAATCCATTCACGTTTAAGGTAATTATTGATATATATGTTCCTATTACCATTTTCTTAATTGTTTTGGGTTTGTTTTCGTAGGTCCTTTTCTTCTCGTGTTTCCCACTTAGAGAATTTCCTTTATCATTTGTTGTAGAGCTGGTTTGGTGGTGTTGAATTCTCTTAGCTTTTGCTTGTATGTAAAGCTTTTGATTTCTCCATCGAATCTGAATGAGATCCTTGCCATGTAGAGTAATCTTGGTTTTAGGTTCTTCCCTGTCATCACTTTAAATATGTCATGCCACTCCCTTCTGGCTTGTAGAGTTTCTGCTGGGGAATCAGCTGTTAACCTTATGGGAGTTCCCTTGTATGTTATTTGTCGTTTTTCCCTTGCTACTTTCAATAATTTTTCTTTGTCTTTAATTTTTGCCAATTTGATTACTATGTGTCTTGGCATGTTCCTCCTTTGGTTTCTCCTGTATGGGACTCACTGCGTTTCATGGACTTGGGTGGCTATTTTCTTTTCCATGTTAGGGAAGTTTTCGACTCTAATCACTTCAGATATTTTCTCAGGTCCGTCCTCTCTCTCTTCTCCTTCTGGGACCCCTATAATGCGAATGTTGTTGCGTTTAATGTTGTCTCAGAGGTCTTTTAGGCTGTCTTCATTTCTTTTCATTCATTTTTCTTTATTCTGTTCTGCAGCAGTGAATTCCACCATTCTGTCATCCAGGTCACTTATCTGTTCTGCCTCAGTTATTCTGCTATTGATTCCTTCTAGTGTATTTTTCATTTCAGTTATTGTATCGTTCATCTCTGTTTGTTTGTTCTTTAATTCTTCTAGGTCTTTGTTAAACTTTTCTTGTATCTTCTCAATCTTTGCCTCCATTCTTTTTCCGAGGTCCTGGATCATCTTCACTATCATTATTCTGAATTATTTTTCTGGAAGGTTGCCTATCTCCACTTAGTTGTTTTTCTGGAGTTTTATCTTGTTCCTTCATCTGGTACATAGCCCTCTGCCTTTTCATCTTGTCTGTCTTTCTGTGAATGTGGTTTTTGTTCCACAGGCTGCAAGATTGTAGTTCTTCTTGCTTCTGCTGTATGCTTCTCAATAAATACATAGTTTCTGATGTTATATCTTTATTAACATATATTCATACTTTTATATTTTATATAGCCATCCAGACAATGAAAAATCTTTGGATTGGTTTCTGCCACCTGCTCCATTGATTTCGGGAATTCCAGAGACTCAAGCATTAGAGGAAGAAATGGAAAATCATAAACTGTTAGGTAAATTGTCCCATATTTTTTGGGAAGCCAAACCCATTCAGCTCATGTCAATGTAAAAAAGTCTAATATTGAAATATTAATTATTTTATTTTAATGGAATAAAATGAAAGTTAGAGACCCATTCAAAATAGTGCTTAGCAAATCTTAAAATCTGAAACATTTTCCCTCTCCATACTTACATATACACACATATGTATATTATATGCATAAAATATGCTATCACACACACCTGTTATATTGTTCTGTGAATTTGTTTCCTCTTACCATTAAAATTGTCAGTGCTATTTAGTTTTTGCCTTACCCTTTACTAAAGGTAGGATCCTTTCATTTAGGGAACCAGATTCATGAAATACATTGAGTGAAAAAAACAAGATGCAGATTATATATATAGTTTGTTACCATCTTTACAAAGCTAGAAAACCAGCACACTCGAACAGTATATGTGGTCTAATGTGATATTGTTGGTAAAACTGATCTTTAAATTGAGTGGTAGATTCATGCATGTACATTTTATTATTAAGCTTCATAATTTTTGTATATTTTATATATGAAAATACATATTATATACTTTTGTATGTACCAAATAATATGTAAAATTATTACATATATAGAATATGATAATTCTCTTATATGTTGTAATAGAACACCCATATATAATACGTATTTGTAGTAGTATAGTATGTACACCTAAATGATAAAACAAATTTAAGCCATGGGCTTCCCTGGTGGCGCAGTGGTTGAGAGTCTGCCTGACGATGCAGGGGACACGGGTTCGTGCCCTGGTCTGGGAAGATCCCACATGCCGTGGAGCGGCTGGGCCCGTGAGCCATGGCCGCTGAACCTGTGCATCCAGAGCCTGTGCTCCGCAATGGGAGAGGCCACAACAGTGAGAGGCCTGCGTACTGCAAAAAAAAAAAAAAAAAAATTTAAGCCCTAATGAGGCCTCCAGAATCCTTCCAAACCTTTCAAAGATGCTTATAAATTCTCTGTAAAGACACCTTTAAAATTCTGTCACCTTGATGAAAGTATTCCTTTATCTTGATTTTAGAAGCAAGATTACAAATTTAAAAGCATTGTGTCATGTATTTTAATACTGAATCTATTCAGTAACATTTTATATGATTGGTCGCTGTATTTTTGTGTACAAATTATTTATATAAATTTTTAAATCTTCATAATTACTTATATAATTATATCATTTGTAGTAGATAAATACTTAAACATTATAATTATGGTTATTTCTGTGGGTCATAAATTAAACCTATTTTATAATGTAGGTTTAATATAAATTTCAAATTTAATTTCATTAATTCTTAACTAATTTCTGAGTATCCTGTAGTGTTATGATATACCATAAGAGTAACAACTACCTGTATTTCAAAATCACATATAGTATTACAGATTATCTTGTTATATTCATATTTACCTAGTAAGCTGTTTTGAAAAATTTTATTAAATTTTTCTATCATTATTTTGAAAATTTGTTTTCCAGGAGAACATGTAGTAATTAAAATATTCCATTTTTGTAGGTCAGAGAAAGAGGTCAAAAATGTTACCATCAAATTTGAAGATCACTAATGAAGACACAAATTATATTTCACAAACACAAAAATTCCAATTTGCCTTCCCTTATAATGAATATGAAGAAGATGATCTAAATTTTGGAGGGGCAGGTAACAATGACTTACATGTTGCTGGCAAGCTGACATATGGTTCTTCTCAGAAATGGAAAAATCACACTGGCACTGAGATAGCACTTGAGAAAAATGTTCCAGATGATACGAAGTTAATTAATTTTGCACAAGATAAAGGAGAGAGCACGTCAGCCTTCTGCAAGAGGTAATTAATTAAATGAAATAAATAATATTCAATGATAAAGTTGAATATTTATGTGTATGTCCAGACGTATGAAGTATGGTAGAATCTGAATGATAAAAATATCAACAACAAATCGAGTCTACCAGGGACTTCCCTGGTAGTCCAGTGGGTAAGACTCCATGCTCCCAATGCAGGGGGCTGGAGTTCGATTCCTGGTTGGGGAACTAGATCCCGCACACATGCTGCAACTAAGAGTTCACATGCTGCAACTAAGAAGTCCGCACGCCACAACTGAAAGATCCCTCAAACTGTAACTAAAGATCCTGCATGCCCCAACTGAGAGCTGGTGCAACCAAAATAAATAAATAAATATTAAAACGCAAACAAAGAAAAAACCAGAGTCTACTATGTACTAGACACTGTTAACTGTGGGATTCTAGCCATAGGTTCTTGCCTTCAGAGAACTTACAGTTTATTGAGGGAAAGGCAGATAGTAAATAAAAATAACTGATTGAATACTTTTTGCACCACATTATTTTGATGAGATATATGGTTAGATCAGAGGTTCTCAAACTTTGTTTTCAGGACCCTTGTACCCTTAAAAATTACTGAGGATTCCCATAGAGCTTTTGCTTATTTGGGTTATATCTATTGATATTTAACCATATTATAAATTAAAATTATGGGAAAAAGTGTTATGGAAATTGTTTTGATCATATGAACTCTCTGAATCTTGACCACCATTTGAGAACTGTTGTTAATATGAGGTCCTAATCTGCTCTGCACAATCAGGGAAGACTTTCCTGAGGAAATGGTATTTAAGCTTAACATTAAGGAGGAATAGAATCAAGCTGAATGCAAATAAAGAAGGAGAGTGTGCCAGGCAGAAGGAATAGTATGTGCAAAAGTACTAAGGTAACGCAGAGCTTGGCTCATTCTTAGAAATTTTTCTTTAGTTTAAGTAAGAAAGAATGCTAAGAGATAAGGTATGGAGGGGCTAAGTCATTCAGAGTCTTGTAGGCCATGAAACACTTTGTACATTTAGGCAGTACTTATTAAACTGTGGCCCATGAACTCTCTGCATCAGAATTACCTGGAGTGCTTGTTAAAAATTTGGATTCCTGCTTTCTACCTTAGACATATTGAATCACAATCTGGATAAAGGTGGGGATGGGACCCAGGAATCCAAATTTTTAACAAATTTTCTAGATGATTGTTATGTACACTAAAGTTTGAGAACTATTGTTCTAAGGTCCTGGGTTTTAAGCAGAGGAGTAAAATTAGATTTTCTTTTTTATTTAGTGTCCATTTTGGCCACAGTATGATAAATTAGAAGAGAGCTAGAATACATTGTGAAGGGTCACTTAGGCTATTTTATTAGTGTAGGTGAGAGAAGATGGTAGCCTGACCTAGGACTGAGATAACAGGAATGGGAAAGTTCAAAGTTTTTTAGGATATAGAATTCCCACAGGACTTAAATGACGTTTGGATACGAGACCTGACTCCTAGGTTTCTGGCTTGAGCCAGAATGATGAAGGATGATAGTGTTCTTTCATGATACAGAAAACTGTAAAGGAAGAATAGGGGAAGGTGGTGAGTACAGATTTGGACATGTTGATTTTGGGTACTTACAAATTGTCCAAAAGACAATTGGATGTATGGGTTAAGGATTCTGAAGAGATCTAGTTGACAGTTTTTGTTTTCTCTGTGACATAAGAGGCAAAGTCATCTGTGGAGTTTGAGGGGAAAAGTGGGGGTATTGAGCAAGTATGAGAAGAGTGGAAGAAATTGTGGAGAATGGGAAAGCAACTAATTAGAATAATGGTAGGATTTTTGGACACTGTAAAGGGCCCAGTTGAGGTTGATGTCTATGAATTTTAAAATAAATTTTGTTAACATCTAATTCACATATCATAAAATTCATTATTTTGAAGTGTACAGTTCATGGTTTTTAGTGTAGTCACGGAGTTGTGCAACTGTCACTACTCTTCAATTTTAAAATGTTTTTGCTGCCCCAAAAGAAACTCTATACTCATTAACAGTCCTTCCCCATTCCTCCTTCCCTCATCTAGCCCCTGACAACCACTAATCGTTTTCTGTTTCTGTGGGTTTACCTATTCTAGACATTTCGTATAAGTGGAGTCATACAATATCTGACCTTTTGTGTCTGGCTTCTTTCACTTAGCATAACATTTTCAAGGTTCATCCGTGTTATGTCATGTATCAGTATTTTATTCTTTTTTTATGGCCAAATAATATTTCATTGAATGGGTATACCACATTTTGTTTAATGATCTGTCAATTGATGGACATTTGAGTTGTTTCCACTTTTTGGCTATTATGAATAATGTTGCTATGAACACTCATGTATACGTTTTTGTGTGAATATATGCATTTGACCCTTGAACAACACAGAGGTTAGGGGTGTGTTGACCTTCTGGGAAGTCAAAAAATGAAGTATAACTTTATAGTTGGCCCTCTCTATCCACAGTTCTGCATCAGTGGATTCAGCCAACCTCAGATCATGTAGTACCATAGTAGTTACTGAAGAAACAAAATCCGAGTATAAGTGATCTGGTGCAGTTTAAACCTATGTTGTTCAAGGGTCAAATGTATTTTAATTCTTTTAGATTTATACTTAGAAGTGGAATTGCTGGGTCATATGGTAACTTGATATTTATCTTTTTTGAGAAACTGCCAAATTGTTTTACAAAGTAACTATACCACTGAACAGTCCCACTAGCAGTATATGAGGAATCCGATTTCTCCAGGTCCTTGCCAGCACTTGTTGTCTGTCTTTTTTATTATAGCCATACTAGTGGGTGTGACGTGTACCATTGTGGTTTTGATTTGCATATTCCTGCTGACTAAAGATGTTGGGAAACTTTTCATGTGATTATTGGTTATTTTTGTATCTTCTTTGGAGTAATGTCTATTCAGATCCTTTGCCTGTATTTTTAATTGCGTTGTCTTTTTATTGTTGAGTTGTAAGTGTTCTTTATTCTGGATAAAAATCCCTCATCAGTTATATGATTTACAAATAATTTCTCACATTCTGTGTGTTGTTTTTCACTTTTTTGTTCGTATCCTTAGCAGCCCAAAAGTTTTTAATTTTAATGAAGTTAAGTCCAATTTTTCTAATTTTTGACTGGACTTTTGGTGTCCTATGTTGATTGGACTTTTGGTGTCCTATCTAAGAAACCATTGCCTAATCCAAGTTTGCAAAGACTTACTCCCACATTTTCGTCTAAGAGTTTAATAAATTTAGCTCTTAAATTTAGATCTATTATCCATTGTGAGTTAACTTTTCAATATGGTGCAAGGTAGGAGTCCAACTTCATTCTTTTGCACATATATATCCAGTTGTTAAAAAACAAAAACAAAAACTATTCTTTCCCCATGGAATGTCATGGCACCCTCACTGACAATCAATCAACCATAAATGGAAGGTCTGGGGGTTTTCTTACACCATCCAATTATCTGATTCATCAACACCAATGGGTGTCCAACAGTTCAATTCAGTTTTCATACTAACTCCTGGAGTTAGCATCAGACCACATGGGTTAAGGGTTCAGTCCTTTGCCCTACTTGAAATGCCAGCCACAAATAGGGTGCCAGGCTACTGACATTTCTGCCTTGCAGACTACAAATTTGGGAGTTCCCACTACCCCACATTGGGTGTAATAATTTGCTAGAATTACTCACAGAATTAGAAAAATGCTTTACTTATGTTTACCAGTTCATTATAAAGGATACAACTTAGGAACAGCCAAATGGAGGAGATGCATAAGGCAAGGTATGGAGAGGAAGAGTGTGCAGAGCTTCCATACCCTCTCTGAGTGTGTCACTCTCTCAGCACCTTGATGTGTTACCAATCTAGAAGCTCTCCGAACCCCCTGTCATTTAGGAATTTTTTATTCATGGAGGTTTCATTACATAAGCGTGATTGATTAAATCATTGGCTATTGGTGATTGAACTCAGTCTCCAGCCTTTCTCCCCTCCTTGGATGTTGAGAGTGGAGCTGAAAATCTCAACCCTCTAATCAAGTTTAGTTCTTTCTGGTGATTGGTCCCCATCCTGAAACTGTCTAGGTGACAAGAGTCACCTCATTAGCATAAACTCAGGTATGATTGAAAGGGGCTTATTATGAATAACAAAAGATGCTTCTATCACTTCTGTCAAGCAGGGAATTCCAAAGGTTTCAGGAGCTCTGTGCCAGGAACTGGAAACAAAAACCAAACATATTTTCTATTATACCACACAAAGGTTTTTTTCCATGCTCTCAATTCTATTCTATTGATCTGTATGTCTGTCCTTATGCCTGGCATAAGGATATTTTTCACAATGGCATAGCCTACATTTTCTTGATTGCTGTAGCTTTGTATTGATAGTAAAGTTTTACATCAGGAAGTGTGAGTCCTCCAACTTTGTTCCTTTTTTTCAAGATTTTTTTGCTATTCTGATTTATTTGCATTTTCGTATGAATTTTAGGATAAGCTGGTCAATTTCTGCAGAGAAGCCAGCTGGGATTTTGATAAGGATTGTATTGAATCTGTAGGTAACCTGATGACTATTGCTATCTTAATATCATTAAATCTCCCAATCTATGAACTGGGATATCTTTCCATTTATTTAGGTTTTCTTTAATTTCTTTCAAAGATGTTTTGTGGTTTTCTGTGGACAAGTCTTATACTTATTTTGTTAAATTTACTCATAAGTGCTTTATTCTTTTTGATGTTATTTTAAATGGAATTTCAGATTGTCCATTGAAAGTGTATAGAAATACAGTTGATTTTTGTATATTGATTTTGTTTCTTCAGTCTTGCTAATGATGACTTTGAATTTTAATATAACTCATCTACCTAACAGTTGTACTTTTTCCAGTAGTGTTCCACCACCCGGCTGCAATTATAAAAAACAATAGATAGTTAGATTCATCTAGATTTGCAGATTTGCAAGATAGTACGATAAAAGGCTAAAGGGGAAGAGGAGTTTAGAATATTGGTAAGAGAGTGGTTGAAAAGATAGGTCGTGGTATTAAATTCATTAAAGGTACGTGAGAAAAATGAAGGGGAAGATGGTTTGGAAAAAAATAAGGAGATTAATTATAGTAATTTTGTTCTTTGACCTCATTGGTACCTTCAGCAAACAAGCTAAAAGGATAGGAGGTTGTGTTCAGAGAATGATATGTCGGAATCGTTGATTTGAAAAGAGGAGCAGTTCTGGATAATGATAATGTCTAAGGTGAGAGAGTAGGTGACTGAGATCATGTGAGGGTTAAAGCCACTGAAGATAAAAGCCTAAGAAACTGAGAGGGTAGGATTTTGAATGGGCTGTCTACATGAGTGTTGAAGTAACCCAGATGATGGCAGAGTTTGGGATTGAGAGGAAAAGATTCTAAAGTGACCAGAGGTTGATATATGATACATGCCATGAGGAGTTTTACAAGGTGGTATAGCTAGACAGCACAGATACTTTTGTGAGAGAGTGGAAAAGTAATGATGTAGATTTGGGGTGGAGAAGAAGACTCTCAACCATCAATACATTGGATGTGGGAGAGTTAGCAGTTTTTTCCACTTAAGAGATTTTTAAGGAGCAAGAGTTTTCCAGGAAAAATAAATATTTTTGTTAAGACCAGGAAGTAAATATAAAATTCAGTAAAGAAGCTGAGGATATGGAGAATGTGGAGTGGGAGTTCCAGAGGACCTAGGAAGAATCTCAGGTTCAGAGAATTTAGATAACTAGTATGTGGATAATATTTTTATGGTTTGAAAAACCTATTTCAAACTCTAAAGTCATGCAGCTAGAAAGTGGAGGAGCTTTGGATTTATATTCAGGTTTGTCTGATTCCAAAGTCTGTCCTTTTAACTGATATCACAGCATGTAGCAAGGAGTCATCTTGTGGCATAAGTGTTTTCCTTGTCCTCAATACCATTTCATAATGGGATTCTATTATATTATCTAAGACTAACCATCTTCTTTTGAATTTTCTGTCTTCAAAAATAGAACTGCTGGCCTTGGAGGATGCAACTCTACAGTTTGTTCTAAAATACATTTCTCTCTCTAGTTTTTTGAAAGATTGGTCTTTCTCATACAAAAACCTGTCATTAAGATTAATAGTCAAAATAATTTAGAAAGTATTCTGTATTTGTACAGTACTTATTTGGGTGTCATTCCTTACAGAATTCTGTAAGACTGATAACCTGCCATCACCCTTTTACTTATTCTATAAGGTGCTAGTGTTATATTAGGAACCCAATTGGTCACTTCTTCCCTTAGGGTTATTGTGAACAAATTACTTTGATGGATTGTCTTTGAATCAGTCGAATATAGTAAATTACAATCATACGATGGCCTTTCTTTGTTTTCTAGAACTTTATAAAGAACTATTTCGTACACTAAAATGATCATTGAACAGTGTTTGGAAAGTTGGTGCTGGATATTGACAAGAAGTCTCAGTACCTGTCCACATGGGCCTCTCTATAGGGTTGCTTCAGTGGTCTCATAATATAGTGGCTAGCTCCCCATAGAGTGAGTGATCCAAGAGACGATGTGGAAGTGACAATCTTTTATGACCTAGCCTTAGATGTTGCACGCTTGTCCTTCCACAGTACTCTGCTAGTCTCATAGGCCAGTCCTGATTCAAGGAAGGTGACTAATAAAGAAGGTGAGCACCAGGAAACAAGGATCATTGGAACTATCTCAGAGGCTGGCTACCACAGATGGATTTATCTGAGTGTTAGGAAAAGAAATAATTCAGTGGTAAATTCAGCAAATTATACTTTAGGAGAATGATTAGCTTTTGTGTTCTAATAAACCAAAATCTGTAGGTATTTTTAAAGGGACCAATTTTGTGCTAGTTTTTCACATTCTAAGTAACTATTATAAATGCAAATATGTTTTGTTTTGCAGATTATTTAAAATATCTGACAATATACATGGAAGTGCTTATTCCAATGACAGAGTAAACTTGGACTCTCATACTGACTCAGTGAAAACTGTCCAAATGGAAATGAGCAAAGGGAAATCATGGAAATATAGCAATAGTAAGCAGAAACCTCAATATTCAGACATTAATATGTTTAGAGCCAGTGATACTTTTTCTGCTTCTGAAATCAGAGAAGGCATAATCAAAGGACCATCTTTTTCAGTTGCCTCCCAGCCTCATGAAGTTCAAGGTAATTCCTTGCTTTTTCAGTTGGTTTTCTAAAAGTACAGTCTAGTCTGTTTTTCTTAGCATAGGTAAGGATACAAAAATTTGAGTAGGCTGTCTCTATGTACAATTTCTTTACTATATTGCATTGTTTTTTTAAACTGTGATCTAATATTGTTTTAACTGTGCTCTCAATGAAAAGTTATACAAATTTTATTGCAGTAGCTTTTATGGAAAAGGTTAAAATATGCATAAGTATGTAGGATTTTCTTTTTTAGGGGTAACAGAAAATGGTTTCAATTCCTTGAAGGCTGTCACAGAAATCCGTATCCTTTAAATTATTTTACTATAGCAGCATTATATTTGAAGTCATAATTTTAAAACATTTTGTATCATTGTGTTTCTGTTTGTTTGTTTTGGTTGACAAAGAAGAAGAGGGAAAAGTGAATCTTTTGGGTCATGTAAGAGTCCCAATATGTGTGATAGTGCTACTGAAAGTGTGATCTGTGGACTGGTACCAGTTGTGAACTGTTTGTTACCAGTCTGTGACAAGTACAGATATGAGATTTGTATTACTGAATGAACTGTGAGCATATTTACTTACAAATTGATACAGATAATTTCCTATATTTTGTGTAAGAACAGTGTATTGGTATAAACATGGGTAGGGGAAATGACTGAGAATGGGATATTCTATGGACTGGGGACAGTTTTACAAATCTAGTAATTTTTGAAATAACCTAATTTGCAGATTATACCTATTTACATGTCTGGGTATTTCCAACGTAATTATTTTGAGTATATATGTGTGTTCTGGAGGTAACATTCTTTGCTTCTTTGATACTTTGTATATGTCTGTAACAGTGTACTTATTCTATTTTATTATAACTCATCAGCTGTTTCTGTAACTATTTCCCTATGACCTATGAACTCCTTGAAGGCAAGGACCAAGCCTTATGTATCTTCTTATCTCCAAATTCATTGAAAGCCGTATAAAGAGGAGAAGTTGTTCCGGCAAAAGAGTAGCCATGAGCAAGGGCAAGGGTAAGAAAGTATGGAATATGTTTGGAAAGAACAAGTATTCCAGTTTGGGTGAAAAAAGTCATGATTAAAGGAGTAGTAGGGGGACTACCCTGCTGGCGCAGTGGTTAAGAATCTGCCTGCCAATGCAGGGGACATGAGTTCAAGCCCTGGTCTGGGAAGATCCTACATGCCGCAGAGCGACTAAGCCCGTGTGCCACAACTGCTGAGCCTGCACTCTAGGGCCCATAAGCCACAACTACTGAGTAGTTATGAGCCCCACAACTACTGAAGCCTGCATGCCTAGAGCCTGTGCTCTGCAACAAGAGAAGCCACCATTATGAGAAACCTGCACACCACAATGAAGAGTAGCCCCCACTTGCCACAACTAGAGAAAGCCCATGCACAGCAATGAAAACCCAACACAGCCAAAAAAATAAATAAATTTTTTAAAAATGCAGTAAAAAGGAATTGTATTTTTTTTTTAAAAAAAGGAGTAGGAGGAAATAATGATGGATAGGTATTTTAGGATTAGATCATTTAATGCCATGAATACCAAGAAGCTTTTATTTTTATTTTTAATATATTTACTAAGCCATGAAGAGAAACCATGCAATATTTTTGAGCAGGTCAAGTTACATTACCTAAGCCATGCTTCAGGATTATAGAATTAGTGACTCAAAGCTGGGGAAGGCTCTAGAATCCACAAAAGTTATGATCTAGTTGGCAAAACAGTGAATTCCAGATATGGGGCCGTTGAGCTAGAGAAATCTAGGGATAAGTGATTCTAATCCTGGGTACTCTGGGGACTGAGAATTCTGAAGTATAGTTAGAAAATGTTTGGTTGACCACTTGTGAAAAATTGCCTCCAGTGCATATACCTGAACTGAATTAGAATGGGAGGAGGGGACAATAAAAGGATTATATATGATATAATAATGTCAGAAATGGCCAGCCATTAGTGCTCCTCTTCATCATGTTGTCTCAGTCTTGTTGCACTTCCTTCTCTCTGGTGATCTAAATAGTGTGGGAATGTAGGAAATGGGTTAGCAGTAAACAGTTAAAAGTAGTTTCATTATCTGTATGATGGAAAATTCTTATCCAATACCTGAACTTGCCATAATGTGACTAATTTTTGAAGAGTTTTATAAAGATTTTCTTGCTATCTTAGCATAGCTGAAGTGCTTCTGTTGTTTAGGTCTCTTCGTTAGCTAGACTACTGCCTACTCTTGTGTCCATTGATTTATTGTCCAAAAAGTTCATTTGCTGTCAAACTTGTTGAACTTGCTGCACTTTATTGTTTCCAAGTGTATATTTAAAGTGGAAGACTGAATGCTAGTTACGATAATTTGAGAGTCTGGGGATTACTTGGACTTATTTTCTGATTATTTTACAATAGTTTACTATATTTGAATACTCAGGACAATAGAAGTTTGGTCAGATTGATCCTGCTACAGTACTGTTGTCATTTTCAGTTCTGCAGACATCCTGCTCCTTCCGCCCCGCATCCCGTTATAACATGTAATTGCAGTGAGACTGCTGAGAATTCTTCGGACAAAGGGAAAAATTGGGGGCTTCCCTGGTGGCGCAGTGGTTGAGAGTCCGCCTGCCGATGCAGGGGACACGGGTTCGTGCCCCGGTCCGGGAAGATCCCATATGCCGCGGAGCGGCTGGGCCCGTGAGCCATGGCCGCTGAGCCTGCACGTCCGGAGCCTGTGCTCCGTAACGGGAGAGGCCACAACAGTGAGAGGCCCGCGTACCGCAAAAAAAAAAAAAAAAAAAAAAAGGAAAAATTTGATATCAAGTGTTGATAGTGATGATAAATGCTATACTTAGTAGCTAAGTTTTCTCATGAGCTAGAAACTGATTTTACATCTACTCTGAATCATAGATTCATTTTTGTGAGTGTAAATGGATGTGGAATTACCTGATGAGAGAAAAACCAGCATGATGACCCACTTGTGGGCTTGTTACAAATAAATATTTTAAAGGAAGAGATATATTTTGAAGGAAAAATGAGATTCGTTCAAAAACTGATGGATTGACAAACTCAGTATTACATTTTTGTTTTGGAATGAGTATTCTGACACAGTGCACAATTGAAAGTAAAATGAAGGTTTATAAATTATCTGCTTGATTTAATAAATGCAGGCCTGTATTAATTGAGTTCTTAATGTGTGCCAGGCATTTGGGATATGTCAGTTAGTAAAACCGGCAGTGAATTCTTGCCCTTGAGAAGTTAACATTCTTGGGATGGGGGTGGAGAAGAGGATAGATCAGAACAATTGTAATAGTATATAAATAAGTCATATAGTATTTTAGAAGGTGATGAGTAATATGAAAAAAGAAAAAAGTGGGGCAGAGTAAAGGAGATTACATTGGGAATTCTGGAATGGGGGCTCAGGATTAGAATTAAATAGAGTAATTAGGGTATGTCTTCTTTAGAAGTTGAGATGTAAGCACATGAAGGAAGTGAAAGAGCCAAGGAAATATGGAGGGAAGAACAATCTAGGCAGAGGGAAGGCTTTACAGCAAAAACATGGCTGATGTTTTTGAAAAACATAAAAGAGTCCAATAAAGCCAGAGGAAATGAGTCAGAAGCAAGAGTAGTAGGACATGAGGTCAGAAACACAAAGGTGGAGTGGGGAGGCAAGATTATGTAGGGCCTTGTGGCAATATACTTTGAGAGAAATGGGGGAATTTGAGCAGAGAAGTAATATGCTCTGATTTAACTTTTATCAGGATCACTTATCACAATCCATCAGTTTTTTAATATCTTCATAAAAATATAATTGCTTAAATAACTATGTATTTGTGTTCTCAGATATATTATCTGTTTTATATCTCCTAATTGATTGTAACAGCCTCAGTTGCAGGAGCTCATTTTCTTCTTTATTTACAACTTCCTACAGCTTTCTGAGTCTAGTATTCTGCACAGTGTTTCATAAAGGCAGTTGACAAATGTGATTCAGACTAATAAGAATCCATGCAAGTACAAATATCTCCCAAACTGGCAATAGACTCTTAACTTGGAGAGGGGACAGATTATTCTTTATGTCTATTAATATTTTTGAGCTTTCTTAGAGGAAGGACGATTTAAGTCCTTGTTGAGCCAGTATGCTGATAATTGCAATTAAATCCACCACTTAGCACAACGAAATTATCAAAAACAAAGGAATTCAGGGTTAGGTGACCAGCAGCAACACACATCAGCTAATGAAACATAATCAACAGTTAAAAAATGAAATTTGGAATTTTAAAGAAGAGATAAATATCAAATGACCTCATCAAGATGAATAAGAAAAAAATACCACTCTGGAAAAGATAAACTACATTCTTAGTTCTGATATACTTTTACATATGTTTTTGCATCTCTTCTATCAGATCTAATTGTCAAAGTATAACCCTTATATAACCTTGTTTCTCCATAAGGACTTTACAAGTTCTTTTCAGAATATGGAAGGTGACTGGGGACTGGAATAATTTTAATTCCTCCCCCACCCCAGCTTTACTGAGGTATAATTGACAAATAAAATTATAGTACATTTAAAGTGTTCAATATGATAGTTTGATAAATGTATACATTACAAAATGTTCCCACCATCAAGTTAGTTAACACATCCATCACCTCACATATTTACCTTTTTTGTGTTTTTTTGGATGAGAACAGTTAACACTTAAGTTCAACTCTCTCAGCAAATTTCAGTTATACAATACAGTATTTTCAACTCTACTCACCATTTTATACATTAGATCCTCAGATCTTACTCATCTTGTAGCTGAAAGTTTGTACTCTTTTACCAGCCTCTGTTTCTCCCATACCCCCAGCCCCTGGCAACCACCATTCATTGTACTATTTTTATGTCTGACTTTTCTTTTTTTTAATTTCCACTTATAAGTGATATCATGCAGCTATCACAGAAAGGATCTGTCTTTCTCTGTCTGGCTTAATTCACTTTGCATAATGCTCTCCAGTTTCATCCATGTTGTCACAAAAGGCATAATTTCCTTCTTTCTAAAGGCTGAATAATATTCTGTTGTATACATATTTTCTTTATCCGTTCATTTCTTAATGGTTATGTTGTTTCCATACTTTGGCTACTGTGAGTAATGCTGAAATGAACGTGGCTATACAGATATTTCTTTGAGATACTGATTTTGTTTCGTTTGGATATAACCCAGGGATTGCTGGACCATGTGGTACTTCTATTTTTAAATTTTTGAGGACACTCCATAATGTTTTCCATAAGGACTGCACCAGTTTATATTCTTACCAGTAGTGTACAAGGGTTCCGTTCATCCATAT